CTGTCATTTTGTTGGTTGTTTTCTGATTGTTTTTTGTGTCCTTTGTTCCTTTCTTCCTCACAATGTTTATCCTTGTGGTCTGGTGGTTTTCTGTATTGATAAGGTTTGATTTCTTTCCCTTTCTAATTTATGTATCTACTGTATGAGTAAGTTTTATATTTTCAGGTGTTTTCATGATGGTTGTTATTCTTTCTTTTCTAGATGTAGGACTCCCCCTAAGTTGTTATTGTAGGGATGGCCTGGTGGTGATGAATGTTCTTAATATTTGCTTGTCTCATAAAGACTTTATTTCTCCTTTTCTGAAGGATACCTTTGCTGCTATAATATTCTTGGCTGGCAGTTTTTTTTCTTTCAGTACTTTGAATATATCATCCCATTCCCTCCTGTCATGTAGGTTTCTGCTGAGTAGCAATCAATTAGTCTATTAATAGCTTCCCTTACAAGTGACTTGATGTTTTTCTCTTGCTGTTCTTAGAATTCTCTTTGTCTTTAACTTTGGATAGTTTGACTACGATGTGTTTTGGAGATGACCTATTTGGGCTGAATCAACTTGGGGACCTTTGAGCTTCCTGAATTTGGAGGTTTACATCTTTCCCAAGATGAGTGATGTTTTCAGTTATTATTTCTTTAAATAGGTTTTCAATTTCCCTTTTGTTTTCTTCTTCTGGAATGCCCATTATTTGAATTTTTGTTCACTTAAGAGTATTCTATACACCTTGCAAGCTTTATTCATTCTCTTATTCTCTCTCTCTCTCTCTCTCTCTCTCTCTCTCTCTCTCGGCTGCCTATGTTATTTGAAAACTGCTATCTTTAAGATCAGAAATTCTTTATTCTGCTTGATCTAGTCTCAGATGTGTTTTTTATCTCATTCAATGAATTCTTCAATTTCAAGATTTCTGCTTTTTTTTTAATGTTACCTATCTCTTTGTTGAATTTCTCATTCAGATCATGAATTGTTTTTCTGATTTCACTGAACTGTTTGTCTGTATTCTCTTCTATTTCAGTGAGTTTCCTTAAGATCATTAATCTGAATTTCTTTTCTGGCAAGTTGGCAATTTTCAATTCTTTGGGATCAGTTTCTGGAGCATGATTTTGTTTTTTTGGTGGTGTCATGTTATGTTGATTTTTCATGTTTCTTGCTTCCCTGCATTGATATCTGTGGATCTGGTGGAACAGCCATCTTTTTGAATTTTGTAGAGTGGCTTGTGTGGGGAAAGACTTTCACCTGCAAATGTGTCTTAGAGTGCTGATTGGGTACAGTGCAATGGTTTTGTTCCATATAGATGCAGTAGTATAGATTCAATGTGGTTTCTTCACCTATAATCCACTTTCATTATGTCTGCAATTGACTCAGTGGCCTATGCTTTGGAGGATAGTGGTGGTGGTGGCATGCCTTTGCAGGGGAAGGGATCACTGGGTTGGTTCACAGGCTGGGGGTGTGCACATTTACTCTGTGGTCAGTCATCTCTGGAGCTGGGATGCAGTTGCTGAATTGATTATCAGGTTTGGGGTGCAGGCATGGCCTGTCAGGGTCTCTGGCACTGGTTTACCAGTGGCAGGGTCACTGTGCTGCTTCTCTGACCAGGAGTAGGCCCACCAAGGGCACATCAGCCACATGGTCTCTTATTCAGATGCATGTGCAAGTAATGGCTCAAAGACTCAGGGGTAGGTCTTCCAGCGGTATGACAGCTGAGCTGTTTTTCTGAGCCAGGATGTGGGCATGCTTTGGCTCAGCTAGCTGAGTGCATGTCTGCCAGTGGTCCATCTGCTGTGCCAGTTCTTAGGGCCCAATGTGAGGTCATGCTTCCTTCTGTGGTTCAGGAGTTGGAGAGCCAAGGCCAGAGCTGCTGAGCTGCTTCTCAGGAAGTGAGTGAGGCTACCAGGTGGGGCTGCAGTAAGGGGCCCATCCAAATACTTCCTGGGTGGTGGGCAGTGCTGCTAGGTGGGGAGGGGGCTGACCAGCCTCTTTCCAGTCAGTGGGTATTGTGGTTAGCAGTCCTGCAGTGAGGGGGCCCATCTGGTTCTTCCCCAGAAGTGGACAGAGCTGCTTGGCAGGTCTGTGGTGAAGTGGCCTGTCCAGCCACTTCTGGGTAGAGGGCAGGGCCACTAGGCAGGCCTACAGTGAGGGAGCTGGAGCAGCTGCTTCCGGGACTGTTGGCGAGGCTTTCAGGCAGTGCTGTTCAGGGTGGAGCCAACTGCCCACTTCTCCAGGAGAGGGATGCACTTTATTTCCACCAGCCTGAGGACATATTCATTAGGGTAGAGACCCGTGAGCTGTTTTCTGGCTTCAGGGTTCAGGCACACATGACTCAGTTGGTGGGGCTGGAGGGTAGGGGGAGGAATAGGTGGTTTATTGCCTGAGGAAGGTTTGCCTGTCTGATTTTTGGCTGGGGACATGGAGGTGTGTTAGTTCAACAGGACCAGGTTTGGCTTCCCAGAGTGCACAACTAGAGTCATGGCTGCTGTGAGCCCAGGCTTCAAGCTGCCAGGATCAGGGTATTGTAGCTTCTCTTGTGGTTGTGCTGGGACAGGGAAGAGCCTTAAGGCTGGGGAAGCATCATGGTTACTGGCCGCAGGGCAGGGAGTGCTCCTGTAGAGGCTCTGGTTTCAAGATGATGCTGTCCTCAATCTTCTTGGGTCACGAGAGTGGGTACTGGGGAGTGCACCATTTGTGCTAGTGTTCTAAAGAAATGCAGTGTGTGTATTCTAGGCCACTCCCCACACTTTTCTCTAGACCTGGCTTGCCAGAGGGTCTGTGGGTCTCTGTGGTGAGGGTGGGGTTGGTGGAGGTCCTCTGCCTACCTTTCTGCTGCAAGGGGAAATTCTTCCTGTGCCTGGTGTCAGAGACATGGTGGCTGAGGCCTGTGTCTCTCCTCTTTGTCACCATCCTGGGCTTTCATGCTCTGTAGGGACTCACCAGTCTCTTGCTGCACCCCCCCCACTCTCCCACACATGCTCCCATCAATATTTAGCTGTCTGCTAGCTGTTCTGGTCCTTTTCTGTGGGGGGAATGCACCCCAGGCACTTCTAGTCCACCATCTGGCTGCAGCTTTCCCAACATCCAGTTTTAAGAAGCATGAAACTTGCCAAATTGCTTCAGATTTGTATAAAGAAATAAAATCTTGCAGATACATCATTTCTAAAAAAGGGAAAGATTGGGAAATTTGGTAAAATTTCCTGTTACAAAATATTCATTCATCATGTAATAAAACTTAAAGTGGCAAGAACTAAGCTGAAATGTTAGAGACAGTATAGGGAATACTAGAGTTTTTTTCCCTTCTGCCTTCTAGGAGCATTAACTGGGTAGAAAATTTGGGTCACAGAGACAAGAAGTGAGTTACTAGTAGTTGGTAACAAAAACTCCAGAATACTAATTTTTTCTTAGACCATTTTTACTTTCTTCTTGCTCAAAAATTGAGACAAGCCCCACCGTGGCCAGTCTGACTGCTGAGATTGGGCTTTCTTTTCTTTTCTAGGAGTGCTCACCCTATGCAGCCCACCTCTACGATGCTGAGAACCCTCTGACGCCTCTCCGGAAGCTTCCTGGACTTTGCTCTGACTACTGCTCTGCGTTCCACTCTAACTGCCACTCTGCCATCTCCCTGCTGACCAAAGGTCATGGCCTCCAGGAGTTCCATGAAAAGGATGGTGCCCACTTCTGCCACCTCCTCAATCTTCCTGACAAAGGCTATTGCTTCCCCAATGTCCTGAGGAACGACCATCTCAACCATGACCTGGGTGTGGTGGCCAAGGACCATCAGGGCTGCCTGCAACTCTGCCTGACTGAGGTGGCCAACGGGCTGAGGAACCCCGTTGCCATGGTCCATGCTGGGGATGGCACCCATCGCTTCTTTGTTGCTGAGCAGGTAGGAGTGGTGTGGGTCTACCTCCCAGATGGGAGCCATCTGGAGCAACCGTTCTTGGACCTCAGGAGCATCGTTCTGACTACTCCATGGATTGGGGATGAGAGAGGCTTCTTGGGGTTGGTTTTTCATCCCAAATTCCACCACAACCACAAGTTCTATATTTATTATTCATGCCTTGGCAAAAAGAAGGTAGAAAAGATCCGGATTAGTGAGATGAAGGTTTCTCGGGCTGATCCCAACAAAGCGGACCCCAAATCAGAGAGGTGAGTCAGAGCCATGAGAATCTGCAACTTTATACTGTATTCTGAAATAATGCCAATCAGTCCTTTGAATTGATAGTGGGGAACTTAACTGATTTTGGAGGACTAGCTTAAAACATCAAGAAAGGAGTCATTGTTGATTAATGAGCACAGCCTAAGTTAGACTCTTGAGTCAAGGGTCTTTATGGGGTACAGCCACCACCTTACAGTTACCCTAATTAGAACCATGGTTTCTTGTCTTTACAGAGCGTAAGAAAGGGCCAGCAACCACAAAGTCTTGAGAAATGATGATGGATAATATCAATATATTAAATATAATACCAGCCTATGATTATTTTGTGGTCATTAGATCCAGACCCTTTCTCTTGAATGTGGGATTTCTTGTCCTCATAGGAGGCTGGGGCACAAGGCCACAAAGCTATTGATGTATGGTCAGATGAGGACTCGGTTCTAACTGACCCCAAGCTCATGCTCTATCCATTCTACCACCCTGCCTTTCTTCCTTCTCCTCTCTGCCTTGTCTCTTTCCTGTTATAGAGAGGTGGGAGGACTGGAAAGAGCATGCTGCACTGATAGACTTACCCCTGCTAAGTCGCTCAAAGAAAGGGACTGAGAGTTCTGGGACAGCAAAGAGTAAGGCAGGCCCTAGAACAGGGCGATTGTTACCCTGGCTCTGTCTACATCACGTGAAGTCATGGTATGAAAGAAAAATAATCAACGAAGGAGTCATGCCAGGAAACAAGAGACCTCTCAGAGCCCTAGAGCTCTGTTTTGTCATCCTGGGCACTCTGAAATGGGTCTTGGCTGGCGTGGCAGATCTTGGTGCGTACACCAGTCATTTCTGGGTGTCTCAAGAGGATACAGCTTCTGCTTGTGTCAAAGCCTAATGCACAGTTTCTTTTTCTGTTCCAGGGTCATCTTGGAAATAGAAGAAC